GAGAGAGAGAGAGACTGGGTGAATGGGTGTGAGAACGGGAGGGAGAGAGAGAATGCAAAAAATCCACCTGTCCAGTGTTTGGTTTATCGGACATGGGGGTAACTTGGGAAAAAAAACGCCGAGGGTGGGGTGGGGTAACTTGGGACAAGGCATTCCTTAGGATCAAGAAGTGGACTATTGAAAGTTTGAAATAAAGTCCCTCTTCTCAACAACCCTTGTAATCATGGTCTTTTCTTGGATAGTAGTTCACAGGATACCTAGCTTCTAGGTCGATTTTATGTACTTTCTATTAATCTGAATTGAATTCAATGACCCAGTATATAAATTAAAAAAATACGGTAACTTAGTAGTCATTGTGCACCGTTTGGTATCTTCTTTCCAGGAAGAAATTGTTTTGGTCGTCTAATTTTCTGCATTATGGTTCATTTAAAAAACATAAAACAACTCTTAGATTTAGTTTGAACCTGTTTCTGTTTCTGAATTACTATGGTAGGAAACACATCATAATTTTAATATCGATCACAAGTCATTCTCAAAATCTTTTTTAAGGTCGATCACATGTCAGTGGATCTCGTCTTGTTCTCGTGTTGCTATGTATAACCAATTGTTTGTTTTTTTTTTTGTTAAATGTAATTGTAGATAATGTGCTCCCGAAACTGACCTAGAATGGCTTACTTTCTGTTTTTGATGTAAGAGATCTCAGATACCTGGCATCAAACTGGGAAGATTTTCTATATTACTTGTTTTCTTTGTTATCTATAGATCTTGACTACAATAGGAATTCATTTAGTTTTAGCATGAAACCAATTTGTTCTTTTTCTGTAGTTGCTTTTGTACTTATAAAGCACAATTCCTTTTTATGGGGGTGATTGTAGGTGGGTCCTGATGCATTTGAACAAGCTGCCGCAGGAGGTGGTCCAGGTGATCCTGGATTTGGCAGTGGCGGATTTGGCTTTGGTTTCGAAGATATTTTTGGTGGAGGAATGAATGAGGTATATGCCTTTGTCATCATTTCTCAAGGGGGCATATCGTTTTGCTTCTGATCATTGGATGTCACAGTCTATGTGGTTGTATGTACTTGGGCTGATATGCCTTTTACCTGTATCATATATATTGGCTTTTGTTTATTGAATTATATTGGCCTTAAACTTGTTGAAACAGTGTTTGTTGCAGTTGTTCTTTTGCTTTCATTTATTTTTTTTGTATCTGATTCTGAAGCCTTGATTGTAGACATTACTTTCTCACATTTGTCAAGTTGTATCAGTTTTATAATTTTTTATGTCAGTTTTATAATTTTTTACAAGTTGTCAAGCCATTATTTATATCAGTTTTATAATTTTTTTATGAGTGATTTGTCAAGTTGGTTTACCTTGGTTTTCTGGAGATTGTTATGAAACTAATGCTTCCAAATCTTGCATCATATGTGGCCGATAGTATTCCTCCTTTGTTTTCTCCTTCTTATGCTCAATTTATACTTATTTCAAGTATTTGATATGCATTTAGTGGGATTAAGTATTAGTTCATGTGAAGTTTTTCTTTAAAATCTTTGGTGTATCGAGGAAAGTTGGAAGGGGGTTTCCTTCCAGGATGGTGTTCCTTTTTGTTGTTTTGAGTCCCCGAGGTGGGATCCATGATGGAATCAATGGGGTGGCAAGGAGGGAAAGAGGCAATTGGTGGGCCTCATGACATGGTTCTCCTATTACCCTGCCTCATGTAGTTTGTGGTTATTGGGCATTTTTTGTGGTCCTCGATTGACATTATTAATCGAATTTTCAAGCATGGGACCTCAGTCGGTTTAGTTATAAATGTTTAGGGTGTCATTTTTGAGCAAACCCTCTGATGTGGCTGTCCAAAGTCTGGCTATTAGCTAGATAGTACTTTATGTATTAATCTCGTTCCTTAAGAATGACCAGGTTAGAAGACACTTGAAGGGTTATCTATTCTGTCTGGAGCGATGCACATGGTTTCACTTGCCCGTCAAGGGAGAACTACACCTGTGTGGCCTGTGGGTGTAGTAGACAAGGTGGTAACAATAGGTCCCATTTGTATGAGTGGGGAAGGATGGGAATGGAGGAGATTCTACCAGGTTATGCCATGCATGAGGAATGGGAAGAGAGGTGGGGGGGGGCGGCGGGAGAGTGGGTTAGCCAGTCATTTGACAAGATTGCTAGATATTTATTAGCCAGTCATTTGACAAGATTGCTAGATATTTACCAGTAACATAGCAGCATATTGTGTCGCAGGATTAAAAGGTGTCACTGATGGTCCTTAGGGTTTCTGGATGGAAGGGAGATGGTTTTTTTGGTTTTTGTGATGCTGTTGGGGCGAATGGATGAGGAGCAGGTGATGTTGTCAGTTCAATGTCAGGTACATCTTTTTTTGTTTGGGTCAGAGGAAGTGGTGGTTATGGTTTTTGCGTAAACAGCTTATATATGATTGTTCCAGGGCATCTGTATGCCTCTGTCAATGCCTTTGTGGAAAAATTGTTTATTATTTATTGAAGAGGTCAATGGTTACAATCTTGGGTATTCAAGAGAATAGGCTGCCTGGTCCTTGTATTGTTTTTCTCCCGCCTCTTCGGAATATTTAGTGGGGATTACTTACGGTCAATGTAGTAGTAACAGTGGAAGCATGGAAAAGTTGTCTCAGATTTTTATGTGTCTGAAGGTAGTGAGTTAGCGAGAAGGGAAGGGAAGAGCCTCAAGGCATTAGGATAGGAAGAAAAGAGGGGTTTATTGGGCCAAGTTGGTGGAAGAAGAATGTTGTTGTGGGACATCAATCTGCCTTGTGCAATGTTAAAAAAAGCGTTGGCGGGCGCCCAAGAACAAGGACAAGTAGGGACTATTCACATAAGAATTAAGATATAAGTTATAATAGTATTATTATTTATTAATTAATATCCATAATATTTGGTTTTGGGATATCAAATATTCATGGTGGGCAGCTAGGCACCCAAAATGCCTAGGCACGCGCCAACGTTTTTTTTAAGATTGCACATGGCAGAACTAACAAAGAAATCGAAAAAATAGAACATTTATCGATCTTTTGATAAATCACAAAATAGAGCTTTTTGGGGAGTTTTTCTCTCTTTAGATGGCACAGATTTGGTTTTGGGGGTTTAGAATGTTCCCCAAAACGGGAACTAATATTTTGACCATAGTCGAGGGCCTCGGCAAGCTGCATCGAGGCAGTGCCTAGGCGGCACCTTGTCCGCTTGGGCGGGCGCCAAGATACAAGCTGCCTAAGTGTCCTGCTTAGGCGATTGGCAGCTTAGGCGGCTGGGCAGCAGAATTTTGGAACACTGTTCAATTGTTCTTTCTTTTGGAATGGTCAGGTTCAATATGAGTTGAAAGCTACACTAAAACTTGTGTTCTTTCTTGTAGGACGATCAGGTTCAGGTGAGCTAAAGGCTACGTTAATCATGTTGGAATATCGTACTGTTGAATTTTGTTGCAGATGAAATGTTGTGAGCCTTTTTGGGACTCTAGTGAAGGTTTTGCAGGATTGGTTTAATGGTCATAGCTGATTTATTATGTGGTCACATTCGACGCAATGAAGGAGCGTAGTGGTGGTTTAGTCGCTATAACCAAACCTGTTTTTCTGTTGTAGAGTAGTTCTAACTTCTCGCTAGTTTCACGCTTTCGCTCTCATCGGCTTCCAGCTTCTCCATACTGAGTCAAACAGGAATTACTAAAAAACTTGATACGATTTACTTGAACGGCAACTTTTGGAGTTCACCAAATTTGCAAAATGTGACATTATGAGGTTGGCTAATTTCTTGGGGTCAAATGGGAATCTGCTGTTGGAGAAGGAATGTGGGAGGGTGGGAAGTTTCGGGCTCTGTTAATAAGGTTTCTTTTGGATTATTTATTGTTAATGATTAGGTTTCCTTTTGGCTTTGGAGATGTTGGTGTTTTATCATGTGTTTTCCATTTACATATTTATTTATACTAGTCCTTTCTATTCTTCAATAACATTTTTCACTTTTTTAGTTTCTTTAATAAATGTTCTAATATGAAATAATCATTAAAGATATTTTAATATTTTGATTAGACAGAACTGGGCAACCATTATGTCATTTCTTTCATTGGGTTCCCCTTGAATAAGAGTGCCAGTTAGCCAACTTAGTTACTGATGATAAGATATATTTTGGACACATCCATTTTATCAGATCTAATAAATATCAGCAGGTGCACAGTCGACATTCGCCTATGGCAATATTTTTTTAATATAAATTTTGTTTAAGTTTTGCTATGAATTTGATTATTTGTCATCAAACAACATACTAAATCAACCTTTATCTCTCTGATTTTTCTGGTAAATATTCCTGTTACTCAAAGATGATACCCCTCTCCCCCCCCCCCAAAAAAAAGGACTTTTTATGCGAGGGATTTTTTTTCCCGGGTTTTACTCTCCGAATTTGTAATGGATAATTTTAAATAACATAGCTTGTTCAAAAAGAGGTTTGTAAGATCAAAGTTTTCTAAGACTCGATTGGACTGGCCGCCTAACCGGTGGCCATTCCTGTCGATTCAAGCCCCTTGAAGTGGAATGTTCATTGAACCAGCTTGAACCGGTGGATGGATCGAACCAGCCGGTCCTAACATGGGTTGAAAAATACTGAAACAAACCTCCTTTTTTTGTCCTTTTTCGGGTCAATTTTGGTCATTTTCTTTAGCAGTATTTCATCCTTTAGAAATATCTTGAGTTGTTTTGTGTTTAATATTTTGGAGGTTTTGGGGGTTTAAAAAATTGATTACCCAACAACCCTTGGAGAGGATTATGGCCGTCAATCGGCCCTCTTTCTTTTTTATTTATTTTTTATATTTTAAAAATAAAATTTTTGGATTTTTAAGGGTTTTGCCAAAAATGAGTTTCTTTTTCAAACCAATGAAATAGTTGTTTCTTTTATTCAAATTAATAGTTCTTTTTGCTGTAATAGTTTCATGTTGAAGGTTTTTTGCTTTTTTGTTGTGCATTTGTTTTGCACATAAATACTAGGTTTTTTATTATTTACTTGTTTAGTTTGTTCTTGGTTCTTTAACTCTTCAATGGAACTAGGGGTAATGTTTATGGATAAAAATTGTTGAATATCATGGATTGTGTATTGCTTGATGAGTTAATTGGAGTGCATCATGAGATATGGACATATGATGTGTTATAGTTTTATTTTTGTTCTTTTTTTTTTGAGTTTATGTTATTTTATTTTATTTTTGTTCCTAATAAATCTCTTTTTTCTGAATTTCCTTATTTTCTTTTTACAATTTTTGTATTTTCTATTTTTGATTTTTGATTTTTTGACCAGTTTGGCTGGTGAGCCGGTCTGACCGAACAAGTGCCCTCACTGATTCGACCTATAGTCTGGTCCTGACAACTTTATGTGAAATCACCTTGGCATATGTTTGTCAAGTCAGGAGCGGTTAGTGGCCTGGAGTCGGTGAATGCACCAATCTCTAGGTTTATGCTCAGGAGTACCTAGGAGCTGTAATTCAGACATAGAAAACTATTCTCTTTATTTATGTATATTGGGATTTGCTAACATATTTTGTTTATGCCTTAATGCTTTGCATGGAAATAAATAATTTGTCTTCTATTGCAAATAATTTAGGTCATTCGCCAACAGGAAATGCAAAATTACCACGTGATTTTCTGATTTTTTCCAAGTGCACTCCAAATTAGTGCTTTCAAATTACTGAAACAGGTCGATAATTTCCCACAATGTTAGGTGCTAGAATGTCTGGACTTTATAAATAATTAGCAAATACAATATTCTCAAATGTTGAATAATTTGTTTGAGTTTGTTATGTGCTTAAGTGGTTGCACCTTGTTTAATATGGCTAACTGCTTTATGATGAGTGTACTTTGATTGAGCCATTTTTGATGGATCTTCAGAAGTTTATGGCAGTGATGGTCAATAAAATGGATCCTGTATATTATTCCATTTGTTGCTGCGATGCCACCTGTTACCTTCACTTGCTGTAGATTTCTGTTAGCTTAAAATTTTTTTTTTTTGGTTTTTTTTTGTTTTGTTTTATATTATGTATCTTCTTTAGAGTATATGAGGCTAATTTTTTGGCTGGTGATGATACACTGCAGGCTTTGAAGAACATGTTTCATCAAAAGGCATTTGGTGGCCAAGATGTTAAGGTTGGTAAACAAAATGTTGTTTGAGAGCTATTCATAGATATTCTTTTATCTAAATGAAAGCAATAAAATTTAAACTGTTTATCCGGGTTTTTTAAACCTTGGTGACAGATTTCTCTCGAAATATCATTCATGGAAGCTGTTCAAGGGTGCACAAAAACGGTAACGTTCCAGACTGCTGTACCTTGCGAAACTTGCGGTATGGGCGTTTCTTCCCTCCCATTGTTCTGTTTATCTTCCTTTGTTGAGTATAGATATTTTGAAGTGTATGGCATGGCTATTCTGATTTATTGTCTTACTTGATGATGTATATTTTGGAGGCTTTAAGAATTTTAAGATGCTCATGTTTTTCACTTACTATACAGATGGAACCGGTGTTCCTCCTGGAACTAGACCGGAGACTTGTAGGGCATGTAGAGGTTCTGGAATGGTTAGCACACATCTTAAGCGTTTGCTTTCCCAATTTTTTAAAGATTTTTAGAGTAATTGTATATGGAATTGGCTTGTGAATTCTTCCTTTGCTTCTGCAGATATTTATGCAAAGAGGTCCTTTTAGGTTGCAGTCGACTTGTTCACAGTGTGGTGGAAGTGGAAAGACTGTTAAGGTATAACTTGTCTTTTTGTTGTCATGCCTATTATATTAGATGTACCTTTAGTGCAAATCTTTCCTAAGATATTGAAATTTCTCAAGAAATTCCCAAACCCCCATGGATGGTGGAGCTTCATGCTGGTCTTTTGGACCATGTTTAGTGCATCCCATAGTCAGCCTTAATTTGATCTTAATCGTCCATTTCTGTAACTAAGCCGGAAACATGTGGGGATGTACATAGGAAATCTGTGTCATATAAAAGTAATTCTAGCCTTAATATTTGGGGATTTTGTAATGAAAACTTCAAAATTGTGGGGCAAATGTTTTTACATAAAAGAATGCTGAATATGGGAAAATTTTAAATTAGCCTGAGGCACTTTAAACCATTAAAGTTTTTTGTTCATTAAAATAATGGTAGTCAAACCTGTAAAGTGTTAAATTGCAAATAAAGCAGCTTGTTATGTTATGCTTTTGGATGTTGTAAAGTGTGAAGTTGTAAATAAATCGGAATTTAGTGAATAAACAATCTGCTTCCTGTTATTCTGGCATATCTTAAATTTTTTTTCTTTTTTTTTGTATTTTGTGGGATTATTATTACATTAACTAATCCTGAAAGAATATAAATTATTATTTATTCATGAAATAAAATTCAAGTAATAATTACTTTTTTGTTGCCCATTCTTGTGTTCCCTTTTTTTATTGCTTAGTGTGGGATTATTGGAAATACTTATCTTTTAATAAATTTATTAATTTAAATTAATAATGCCTACGCAAAAATCTTAATTCATTCTATCAAAAAAAAAAAATTATTAATTTAAATTTTTTACAGAATGTGCTCCATACCTAGGAGCTCTATGATGTCTTGAGCCGTTTATTCCTGCTCCTGTCCCTGCCCCCAGTGGAGTTTCTACATGTGGGTGCAGTGGCAGGCTGCCGAGCTTTCTAGGTGGATTATAATTTATGAAAAGATGAAAATATTAAAAATTAAAAGAATTGTTGAAGATATAAAATATATGATGGACAGAAATAATATTTTCTTTACTCTAGGAAAAGGAAATGTTATTATGTCATCTATAGATTATACAGTCTAGCTTGGTTAGTGTATATGGTGGTCTCTTTCTATTGTTATTTTGGTCTCCCTCTCATATGCATGTTTGTTTGTTTGTGTCATGTGTTGCAACTTGATATATATGTTTTCTCCCCTATGACTCTCAGTTCGAGCCAAAGCTAGCAGTTTTATTTCTTATCATTGATAATGTGATTCTGTATTATGTTTTTAAAACTTTTGAAAATCATGTTCTTCATGAACTAAAAGAAATTATGAAGCAAGCATACACCTCTTATTCTGTTTTGCAGACCCAATTCATTTGAGAGTATACTTGGTGGTGCATAAGGTATATAGAGTTATACACACTAACTACTTTAGATACTAAATTTAAAGACCAACAAATTGACAATGTGACTATTGTTATATAGCTTCAATACTGTGAGCAAAATGTTGAGCATTCAAACTCTATAAATATGCAATTGCCAAAAATACACAAATCCTAGTATAATTAATACTATACCTTCTATAGTAGAATAATAATGTAACATGTAAACAAGAACAATTAAACATAACATTTTAAACAAAGTCCAATTGGATCAAAACCAGAGGAGTTAGTATTTTATCAGCATATTTGGTTGATGTAACCTTGATTATATGTGTTCCCATATGATCTGCTACATTTAATCACCAGTAGTGGTCCTTCATTTATGTACTTTTGAGGCTTCTTTGTTATATTTCTCATGATTCCTTCTTCGTTAGGAATTTTGCAAGTCATGCAAGGGGGATAGAGTGGTAAAGGGATCTAAGACAGTGAGACTAGATGTGATTCCAGGTATGCCTTGATGAATATCCCAATGGATTAAGCAACATGTTGTGTACTTTAGAATTTCTATTGCTTTTAGAAGTTCTATTTATAATTTTTTTGTAAGTAATTTCTTTTTATGCTTCACATTGATATTTCTTTGTATTCTTTTGAAAAACAAAAGAAACATAAAACACTTTCAACAGGTTTGTACTTGGAGTTTTTCATTTTATCAATTTTGAACTTGTGATATAGACTGCTGATACATGGGCTTCTATTGTAAATGTGAAATAGAAATGAAAGCGTTAAAAAATGCGGAGATGGGCTGCTGGTGGCAGGGGTCCTGACTGCCTAGGTGGGGCCTTACCCGCCTAAGCAGGTGCCTCATGACTAAGGCGCCTTGACTAAAAGGCCATTTGGAGGGTGTGTGTGTGGTGTGGGGCTGAGAGTATGCAACATCTTTGTATTCCCTTCCACTCTCTCTTGTGCCACATGAATGTACTTTCCTTCCCTTTGTCTCTTTTACGAATCATCATGCTCCCTTCCCCTTTTGTCTCGTTTTCCACCGTTACCTTCTTCCCCTGTTGTCTCTTGTGACATTTCATCATACTCCCACCCCTTTCTTTCTTGCAAATCACGTCAAGCAGCACTCCCTTTCCATTTGTAGCTTGCAAATCATGGTACACTCTTCCCTTTTTTCTCTTGTTAAATGTCAATAGTACTCCCAGCTCCGTTTGGGCAAATAAATCATGTCAAAGCAGTGCCTTTTCTCTTCTTCTTCTTGGCCTGGCCCACCTAAGCATACCTTGGCTACCAAGGTGGGTGCCTAGAGGCCCCTCTACCATGGGCACCTGCCTGGCCATAGGCGATGAGTCTACAGCCCTTGGCTGCCTAGATTTTTTTAACACTCGAATGAAATGCCTTTGTCGACATAGTACCCTTGTTACCTGCACAGAGTTAGTGGAATCTCCAGTGTTAGAAGCTTTGCTGATTGTAGGACGTTGCCATTCAATCACTTGAGAGTCATGTTTACAACTAAGAAGTGGAAAAGCAAATTGAAATGGAGAAGCACACCTTGCGAACACATCTTCACAAACTGAAATGGAGGAGAACCTCACCTTGCAAACATATCTGCCACCTCATTGGCATTACAAGGCCTGTCAATCTCCCCCCCCACCCAAAAAAAGGGCAAAATATTGCATTTCCATGTCCACTCAATTCCATAACTTCTGCGACTAATTGACAACTTTCTGAGGAACTGCTGCCTCTTTATTGCCCATTGAATTGCATTCAACATTATGAAGTTATTTAGATATCATTTTTACAGTTTATACACAATGTTTTAAAAAGCGGACCACCCAGCGCCTAGGCGGTCCAGAAGGCCTGGCTGCATCTCCCTGGCCTAGGTGGCCAAATTAGTCGGGTTGTCCCTAGGCAGCCGCCTAGGCGGTAGGGCACCTGCCTAGGCGGGCGACTAGCGCCTAGCCCTGGGCTGCGCCCCGCCCAGGGGCGGAAATGCCCTTTGTCGAGGGGTTTTTTTTGGTTTATTTTTTTTGAAAAACAATGGTTTTCAAAAGTGGGTTTTAGGTTCATTTGAAACCTAAACCCATTAGAGCCTATTTTATAGAGAGAGTAACCTAAAGAAAACTAGATTTTGTGATTTTCATTGGATTGAAGTGTTTCTCAAAGTTATGGGAAATGGATTCAAACATCACACGTTATGATTAGATTTAGTTTTGGAGTTTTTTTAAGCCTATTATAGGGTGTTTTTGTTGATTTTAACACTAGAATAATCTCAGAGGTGGAAGTTTGGAGATCAAGCAATCAAAGTAAGTGCAAAATTTTATTTTTTAGATTGCTTGTATTATTTTGAGACGTCTTCTTCAGGATCTATTCAAAGTGGTGATTCGGGTTGGAAATATGGATATAACCCGAATTGTTTGGATAAAAATTGCATCAGATGCAATTATTGTGAAAAGAATACAAAAGGGGGCATAAATCAGTTTAAGAAACATCTTGCCAGTATTAAGGGGAATGTTGCCTTTTGTAAAAATGTTCCTGAAGCTATCAGAGAGCGGATTTAACTGATATATGGGTTCAGTAAAACATAAACAGGAATATCCTTGGTCATTTGGATAGGTCTATTTCTGGTTCTACTAGAAGACGTATTCTAGGTTGGAAGTATAGTTATAACCCGAAACCAAACGATAAAAATTGTATAAGGTATAATTTTTGTAAAAAAATACCAATGGTGGTATTAATCGATTCAAGAAACACCTTGTTGGTATTAAAGGGAATGTTTCTTCTTGTAAAAAGGTTCCTGGAGCTATTCGGGATGAAATTAGACAGTTTGAATTTAGTAGAACCAAAAAAGGAAGAAAATGAGTGTTGTTCTATGGAAATATCTTCTCCAGGTTCTTTTAGAAGTGGTGATCCAAGTTGGAAGTATGGTCATAACCCGAATCCGAATGACAAATCGTATTGGTGTAATTATTGTGGAAATGATACTGAAGGGGTATTTATCGGTTTAAGAAATACCTTACTGGTATTAAGGGGGATGTTGCCCTATGTTAAAATGTTCTTTAGGCTACTAAAGAGGAGATTTTACAATATTTGAGTTCAGGGAAGTACAAAAAGAAAGAAAAGGGTGAAGAGGCACTAGGTAGAACAACCAAGACTCCTAGAGGCTCATTTGCACAAATCAGGAGGGAGGTAGAAGAAGAGGAGGAAGAGGCAGATTCAAAAGAAACAGAGGAGGACAAGTGTTACGTTGAAGAGGGAGATGACTCTAATGATGTGGCCTTGCATCTGATGCATATGATGAGGCTTACCCTACTCCTGATGATGATGATTGAAGAATGAAGACGCTTGATTCTTGGTGTTGACTATTGAGTCTTAGGCTGTATATTTTATTTCTCTTAATTTTTAGTTTCTAGTTTATGCTATCTAACTCTTGTGGGTATGCTTGTATGGTTCTAGCATTGTATATGGATTATGGACTATCTAAATTCTTCTCATTCGTGGAAATATGGCTGATGCTTTATGTGTTACATAGTTGTACCGTTAGACTTAGACACTTGGACTACAAACATTTTTCTTTTTACTGGGCACTGGGCTGCTCAGGTTCTAGGTGCCCGCCTAGGTGATGGGTGGCCTGGACCCCTCCGGCTGCCTAGGTGCCACTTAGCGTTTTTGAAACACTGTTTATACATTAACATAGTTAAGTATATGAAATGAGGAACCCCTGTTCTTTCTTGTTCCTTAAGACTGATATTTTTAAGATGCCAGCTGGTAAAAAGTTTTCCGGTTTTGTTTATTCCCCTATATTTAAAACATGCAGGAATTGAGGATAATGAAACTTTGAGGATTTTTAGAAGTGGTGGTGCTGATCCTGAAGGCAATCAACCTGGGGACCTCTATGTAACCATCAAGGTAACATCTCAGTAATGACCTTTCCCATGCATATGTAGTTGATAACCAGTTTTGACATGTGCGTGTGTGTGTCGTATGTAGTTGACAACCAGTTTTATACATGTGTATGCATGCATGCGACTGCGTGTGTGCACATGCACGTGTGTGTAGGCATGTGTGAGGGAGGGAGATATCACATGAGCTTGGGATTATCATATTACTGTGTGGACTTTTTGCAGGTCCGTGAGGACCCAGTTTTTCGGAGGGAGGGCCCTGACATTCATGTTGATGCAGTTATCAGCTTCACTCAGGTTTGTGGCTTCTTTCATTGTTATTTCTTTCCGCATGCTGAATTTTTCTTATCTTGAAGCAAAAGAACTGAAATCCTCACTTTTTGTGTTGAGATCTAGAAGCATTTAGGGAATGATAAATGTAACAATTGACATGGGTTTTCATAGCACAACGTCTCAAGTTCCATTCCTTTGTAACCTTGTCAAAAAAAAGAAGAAAATGTAACAAAGCGACATGTTTTTGGGAACTATTTCCTTCTATGAATAGCTTGTGCTAGGCCCAAACATGATGACTAGTAGATATATGTAGTCATATTGTGTTTCCTAATTCTCATTATAAATGTTGTATTTTCTTATAACGAGTCAAATGTGGATTGCGTCCTGGAAATCATTCTTTATGATTCTGTTGCATGTTCTATAGTGATTTTTACTGAACTCTTTGTTGTTCACAAACAGGCAATTTTGGGTGGAACCATTCAGGTCCCAACTCTAACCGGAGATGTTGTTCTGAAGGTCTCTTTCTTGTTTTTCCTCTTTAATTCTTTGCAGTTAGACTTTTTTTCTATAAATTGCTGGTGTTATGACAATGGTCTTTTGTTTTTGCAAATTTGTCTTTAGGTTCGTCAAGGCACTCAACATGGTCAGAAAGTTGTCCTGAAAGGGAAAGGTATAAAATGGCATAAACTTTCTAGTAATTTATTAGTCCTGCAAAGTCGTCGTTTTTGAGTTTCTGATTGTGCAGTTAAGTTCTACCAATCCCTGTGAAGCATTGACTATGGGTCTTTATGCTCAAAAAATGATTGTTTGTAGGGATTTATATGTATTATTTTTAGTTTGGTTCTGCTGGATTCATGTGCCCGTGTCAATTAATTCTACTTTGTATGAATTAATTTTACTCATGCAGGTATAAAGTCCCGGGGCTCATCATTATATGGGAATCAATATGTCAATTTTAGAGTAACCATCCCGATGTAAGTATTTTTGTCAGAATACTGATCTTCAGCTTTTATGACCTGAATTTGTGCGAGAGAGAGAGAGAGAGAGAGAGAGAGAGAGAGAGAGAGTATTGATCTTGAGTATTGATCTTTTGCATCTCTGCTTTCAGGAATCTGACTCATAGGCAGCGCATGCTGATTGAGGAATTTGCAAAGGAGGGGCAACAAGGAGAGCAAGAGAGGACTGCAGCTGGGGCGAGTGGATAAAATAATTGAACAACCACCTCTTCTCTATTATCCTCTGTTGGCTTGAAATTTTGTAGGAGTTACATGAATACAGATTGGAGTTTGTAGTTTGTACAATAATTTATCCCTACATCTTTATCAGATGATAAATTAAGCTATTAAAAGGCCTGATTATGGCAACTGAGCATGCAGTCATTGCATAGTTATATTAAAAATTGTGTATATAAACTTATCAGGTGGTGGTTGAAGCATCGGAGGTTCCAAACCGCAGTTTCTTGTTGATCTATATTACTCCAAAATAAATCTCTATTTAGTTTTTGATTTTGTTATTTTTACTTCTAACTGAATGGGGAAACTAAATGGCAGTTGAAACCTAGGGAGCCGATTATCTTTGGTGTAAAGCACCCTATTATTATGGGATGAAAAATGTGGGGCAGATTAGGTGAGACTCACTTACTGGAAGAGAGTCTCAGTACAAAGCGGCTTGGGATCATAGGTCCTACAGCTGAAAGGACCTGGTCCGAGTTATTGCAGTAAAAGTAGCCGTTTGTAAGGGTGTGTTGGGAAAGCTTCTAGAATACCACACTTTTAATGTAAAAGCTCTGCTAATATGCAGCATTTTGCATTATATTTAAGGGGTTGGGATCCTACTACTTTAACAGTTATACAGTGTGCAAAAAAGGCAATCCAGCAATACCTTAAAGTTATTATGCACGTATACTTTTGACTCGTTCCATATGAGCCCTAGAGTCAGTGGAGGTCTTGAATTCGCCTTACATTAAATTGTCCTCATGCAATTATGAGCCACCTCAAATTTCACAAGTGAAAATAATATTGAAAACCAGCATAACAATATGCGGAATGGTGGAATGGATTGGGTAATTTACCAATTTGAATAAAAAACTAATGGAAAAACAGCTGAAGGTAGGAAAATAAAACTATTGATTCAACAATTGTTTTGAATTCTCTTCAGTTAGTGTAAATCAGAAAAATGTCTGAAATTTAAGTTAAAAAGCAAAAAAGATTGAAATTTATGCTATTTTAGCAAAATTAGCTGAAAAACAATTGATATAGATGTTCATATTTCGAACTACATAGTTTGTTTTACAATTATTTATCTGCTATTTGTGATTAGGGTGTTTTGACACTAAAATTTTAAATAGGAAAATATCAATGAGAGATCATCAACATCATACGAATTATGATATACGTGATTAGGGGGTTTTGATACTAAAACTTTAATATGAATCTTACAGATCAACGAGAGATGATCAAAGTGATACAAAATCAAAAGAAAATATATGAAAACCGAGAGGAAGATCAAGGGTGGGGGTTAGGACAAGGCGAAAGCCCGGTGTTTTGATCTTTCGATTTCAATGATTATGGGTCTTGATCCTAAGAATTTTGCTGTCGGTCTTGTAGTGCAACTAGAGCAGATAAGAATGCAACAATTATGAGAGAAAAAAGAAAAAAAAACTAGAGAGAATGACAAAACCTTTTGGGTCGGAGTTTGCAAGGGAAAGAAAGCCTGTTTTGATCTTGTGATTTGGGTGAAATTGTTTGATTTTAAAAATTCTGTTGGGGAATTGTGGATCAGTCTTAAATGATCTAGATTGGGCTACTGTAAGTCAGTCTAAAATCAGGCAATTCCGATCCGGAATCGACAATTTTTTGAACATTGTTAAAAACAATAAGCCCGAATTCGGGTGGTGGTAGTAAACTTCACTTATTAAATAATATTGGAAACAGTGAGACCAAATGTTCCCCTTCCAAGCACCACTGGCAAAATTGTTCCTCTTTCTTTTTTACAATATAGATGAAAATAACAAAGTATCCACTCCTTTCTTCGCCAACCAGTCAGCAATGTCATTTGTCTCTCTATACATATGATTAAAACTGACCTACCAAGATGATGTTATATCCATTATTTGTAGGCAAAAAGATCTAAATCGTCATAATGGTTTAGATACCTTATTACACTAATTGATGACGTTAAGTAAATCTCCTTCAAAATTGGCCCTCTCTTTCTTCCCCCTTCCGAGCACCACTGTCTCTCTCTGAGTGCCTAGCCTTGCAATGAATGAGTGTGAGAATCACTATTTTTTTTGGTTATAGGTTCTAAAAGTGAGAAAACAAAGATAAGGAGTCCAAGCTACATTTATCTCCATGCACGGGCCCTTGGCTTGAGAGAAAAGGTCAAAAAAGTGTACCAAAACGAGATCCAACACAGCACTACACTACAACAAACCCACCTCTCAACATGCATTTATTTCTACCACCCAATTTAACTAAATATATTGGTTATTTTTATTTAATATTCTCCTTTTTTTGGGTGAATTTATTTAAGAACAATTGTTTCATGTCGGGCTGGACCGCATTTCTACAATAAGCGGTCCAGAGGTATAAAACATCCATCTTAAAGATGGATGCAAATAGGTGGTCCGTCTAAAAACAATGGTAACTAATGATTTAACGTTTTCTTAATATGATTATTATTTCTAGTTTTCAATTTTTTTTCTATATTTATGAGATATGAGTAATGATCCTATGAGACCCTCCCATACCCATGTGTGTAGGATTCCAAAGGGTCTTCATTAAATTTGGCACAGATATCTAAAAAAATCAAGTCCCACACCATGTGATAACTTTTTTAGAGATCTGTCTCAAATTTAATGGTGATCTTTTAAAATCTTATGCACGTAGCTATAGGAGGGTCTCAAATTTAATGGTGATCTTTTAGAATCTTATGCACATAGATATAGGAGGGTCTCAAATTTAATGATGATCTTTTAAAATCTTATGCACATAGATATAGGCGGGTCTCATAAGATCATTACTCTTATGATCTTCATATTAAAGATTATATATTATCTGAAAATTAAGATCAAATTGTATTTAAAAAGTATATTTATTGCCAAACCCATCTTTCTACGATATACGGGCTGGCCGCATGCTATCCGTGTCTTTTATTTAATATTATCCTACTTCTTCAATTGCCCTCTCAACTCTTCCACCGCTCACTCTCTCCTCCCACTTGTGAAAAGCCTGATGAGTCCGACATCATCACGAGAAAACAAGAGTTATTCAAGAGGTTCTGTGCACCCGTGGGAGCATTCACTCTAATACTCACTTGAGAGTAGTTATAAAAAAGAGAAAATGAAAGTACAAATATCGATGTTTAAAAATGCCATAAGTTTGAAAAGATTTGTCCCTATTTTGGGATGGTTAAATCTAAGTATTTAAGAACTTGAAAGCTAATTATTTTTTTTTTTAAAAATAATCTTCTAGAGATTCTCGCGTGGATCTTAGACCCTTAGATTAAACAAAAAAAAAAACAAAACAAAAAACTACTACAAAGTTCTTTTACCCAAGGGAGCAAGTGTACAATATTGCCCTGCGTGAGCATATACTCTTCACCACATATACTATGCTCCTGAGGGAGCATAGTTTACTTCCACTCACTCAGTCCCAAGACCTACTTGGGAGGGTTTTTTCAGTCTAAAAGTTTGGGAACCACTTAAGAATTATTAGATGATTATTAAAAGAAATTTTAAATTTGAATTTTTCAGCACTTAGATTTCACCATCTAAATATTGGAAGGTCTCTATTCAATCTCAAGACATTTTTTTTTTTTAAGTACATAAAAAGTGCAATTAGGACTTTTATTTTTATTAAATTTAATGGATGGGTTGAAGAGGTTAATCATAGAGGAGTGAATTCGGAACATCGAGAATTATGAGGAATGTCAACCCTCCTTCACAGGGAATGAATGGTGGATGCCCCCATAATGTGTGGAGTAGAGAGCTCCCTCCTTCCCATTGTTGGTTTTTGCAAAGGGAAACAAGGTTCATGGCAGTTTTCAAAAGATAGATCAAAGGTTCGGAAAAGGAGCAAAGGTTAATGGTGGATGCCAAAGAGATGGTCTCTGTAAGGGGTAGGATAGGCATTTTAAAAGTAACATGGCAAAGAAGTAACACACTCTCCACAGGAGCCATTAGAAGCCTTTGGAATCATCCCACCTCCTCTCTCTCTCTCTCTCTCTCTCTCTCTCTCTCTCTACTCTACTACTACTACGTCGTACGTACGTACGTACGTACTCTACTCTACTACTACGTACGTACGTACGTAACGTAACGTAACGTACGTT